TCTTGGCTCTTCTAAAAGGAAAACCAGGAGAAATAAAACTGGCATCAGCCCTTTCTGAGAAGACCTCTCTGTGATGGAAAATGAGTAAATAAACCACTCGCTATAGCTCTCCCTGAAGAGACCAATACACTGTACTGTGCTGAACAGGGCACTTCTGAGAGGAAATGGGGAATGCACCAAAGCGACCTCCTTGACCCAAACATTCCAGAGTTTGTCTACTCTGATCATTGCTCAATTATATTTTACCCAAAGTCATCTTCTTCACTGTGGCAAAATTTCAGAACTTGTTTTATGCAGGAATTCAGGCAATGCTGATCTGGGTTCCCATCTACTTATGCTGTACGAGCGTTTAATGATTCATGAAGGCATGAGTTTGTTGTTTTGTGTTGAATAAATATCTATGCATGACAAAAGATATGCAAGCAATACGTTTAAAGGGGAAGACATTTCAGATGATTATGGCATTTTGCTTTCAGTCCCGTGGTGCACAAAACTCCTGAACACATGCTACAGCCGTCCAGAAATCCATAGCTATTGCAGTTAATTATTGTACTAATTTTTGCCATACGTTCATTGAGTGCTCATTGTAAATTCTCCTATCCGCTCATTATTCAGAATGATTCCCAAGTCCTTTCAATGAATGATATTCTAAACCATAGGTTATCAGAACTATGAATTGCAAATATTTATAATGAATTACACAATTTGTGCTGCAACCAGAGAAACAAACCTTTGTGTATGACGTGTGAGTTGCAATCTCAGCCATTGAAAAATGAATAGGGCATGAATTCCGGATTGTAGCCACACCTGCAGATTTCAATTCACCATTTGCATGTGTCCTGCCTGAATTTTGCTGCTGATGGTACACGTCAGAATTGAAACAGGTGAATATCCAGGGGTAAAAAAAAGGTTCTGGCAATTCCAACACTTCTAGAAAGCAAACTCGGAAAACAGGCAAATCGAAATTTTCTTTCAAAGCTGAATATTTAATTCTAATACTCTTGCCCATCCTACACATAGATCCAGCTGTAACCGAATCCCATCTCCTGGCCGTTCATGACAGCTTCAAACCACATTTTGCACCGCATCTTACCCCGCCCAAAGGATAGGTGTCTCTCCCACCAGCTGATGGAGAGTTCAAGAACAAAATGGGTGACGGGAAATCCTTTCCCCATCTTCTGGTTCATAATTTAGGGATAAAGTGGGGTGGTTGCCAGGGGATTAAGCAAGCTGTGGTCACCCTCACATCACGGGTAAGCAGCCGAGCCACAGTGCAGTCTGCTCCCTCGCCCCATTGCCACTGGGGTTGTGTCTGGCCCCAGGTGTGCTACACAAAGTCTCTCCCTGCCTGGGTCACCCGGAGCACCACAGTCTTCACAGATCATTTGAAAAATAAATTAAAAAAAAAAAAAGAAAGAATGAGAACTGTCTCCCAAGCGGTCTCTCAGTCTGTGTGTGGTGAGGGCGTCTGCCTCTTCTCACTGCCGTGTTTTATCGCACTCTGCTCTTCCTTCTTCTTTTTTTCCCATTCCTAATATAAATGTGAAAAATCCCAAAATGGGAATGTCAGAATATTTTGACACTGAAGTTATCAGAAGAAAAAAAGAAGAAATGCCTTCCCTCCCGGCAAGGCACTCTCACGGGTCAGACTCATCCAAGAGCAAGAGCCTGGATTTTAAGCGTGACAAACATGTTCTTTGCACTTGCAAACGGACCGGTGAGATGATCGTGAGCAAGGACAGAACGGTTTGAACAGGCAGAGCTGAAGGAAAGTTCAGATCGTCTCAAGATTGGAAGTAAAGAGCAATTAGAAACCCCAGTCCTACTGTCAACCACTCCTGACTCCCTTTGAGGCTAAATGACTCACGTCAGCTTAATACAAAGTCGCAAATCTCTGCAGTTTTGGGGGGAGGAACTCTGCCCTAGATTCAGCACAAGGGCTGTCCTTCTCTTCACTGCTCTCCCTGCCAGGGTACAAAAAGCAGCTGTAAAATCCCACTTGCACAACTTCCCCATTTGCAGACGCTCTTGGTCGGGAAGAAGCAACTTTGAGGTTGGAGAAGTGTGAACCAGGTCCAGCCCCTGTGCAGATCATTGGCTGGGTTGGTGTGAAGCCAAGCCATACAGGGAGGTTTCAGTATTTCAGCTGCTGGGCACAACCTCCCCCCGTATTTTCACACTAGTAAAGCAAATGTACACTATAACTTGAGAGAAGCTGCCTCGCTAAATTTCTCTTCCAGGCATGCTGGGTCCAACCTTTTTTGCATTTAAGAAAGAAGCACTGAAGAAATAAAAATTCCTCAAGCGAGCTTAACTATCCAAAGACTACAATTAGTTGGTTTTACTTTAATCCCCACACCTCTATCATCAGCAGTGCGTAATCTGCACCAGGGAAGGAAGTCACGCTTTTCTCATCGGTTACAAAGCTGAGGAAACCAGAAAATAACTTCTGTCTGAAGTGGTGATGCGCAGAGCCGCAGCCCTCCCGCACGCGGAGGGAGGAGGGGATGCGGCAGTGGGAAGCGAGTGCCTTCTGCAGAGCTGGAGTGATACGGAAAGGCAGGAGAGAACCAGATTTGCACCTGTGGTATGTTGAAAACAGGCGACACGCTCTTATCCGTAAAAGTACTCATAAAAGCTAGAAGTGGACAAAGGCCCTGCGCAGGTTTGGTTCTTACAGGGCCTTCTGCAATGGTTGTCACACCTAGATCGACAGGGTGGTTATACACTTCCATGGATAACTTCTATGCGGTACAAGTGGGAAGGAGAAGCTGGAAATGGGGAAAGCCTGATCTCAGCTCCATGGTGGGATCCATCATTTACTGCAGCCCACCAGAGCCTCTCCAGCCAACCAGGGTGGCCGAGACCACGGCCACCCCTACCTTTGAAGGAGAGGTGACTCTTCACATTTGCTTTGGCCTCCACAGGGACTTCGATATGTTTGAAAGACTCTCAAAATGAGGAGGTTTTCAGCTCAGGGACACCCAGCAGAGAATGAAGGAAACCACCAGCAGCTCAGCCCTCCTGGAGCTCGCGAGCCCACCTCCACCACCCATTGTCCCCAGGACAATGCCGGCCTGAGCCTGCCAGTCCCACAGGGCACAGGCAGGGCAATGAGGTCTCACAGAGAGGTAACTTAGTGCAAAACCAGCGAGACAACCTGGAGACATGAAGAGGCGCTGTCATTGCCATCTGCAACACTTGGAGGTCAAACGTCAGCACAGACTGAAGCAATTCACCATCTGGGCTGATGTGCTCCCTGCCCTCTGCATCTCCAACCCACACCTAAGAGAGGCTCCCTGTCATCTCTCTGCCTGGGATACAGAACAAAAAGCATCTTGTTGCTATGCTTACTAGCCAAAACAGACGCCACTCTCTCTTTCCTTGTGTTTAGGCCACCGGGCTGGCCCCTTCGCCAGTCGTCAGAGCACAGAGCTGCCCTGGTTCACCAAGGGTGGGAGCGAGCCCTCCCTCCCCGCACAGGGACGTTTCCAGCGTTCGCCCCCACAGCTCCCCAGCTGCAGGCACCGGGTCGCTCGCTGCGGGATGGCGCGCTGCGTCCAACAAGGGCTGCTCTCTCAGTCCTCCGAACAGCAGCAGAAGAGCATCTGGCTTGTCCCCGGGAGCACGGCTCCGACAGAAATCCAGGCTGAGCCTGGCCCAGCGCCACGCATCCATCACAGACAGAGGGCTCTGGGACCGTGGCCCCTGAACAGTTTTTAATCAGCAGAAGATAAATACGTTGCAATGTCCTTAATGACTTAGAAAGCTTGAGAGGTCTGTCTGTCTCAAGGCTCTGACAAGCCCTGCCCCACCTCCCGTCCATTTAACGGTTCAGGACTCTTTCCAAAACTTCAGAGACCATTGCTGAAGGGAGCTTGGGGCAAACCAGCAGATCAGACTCAGCTGGGAAGTGCTCAGTATCTGATGTAGTCTCCAGACGGGTTCAGCTCTGAACATAAATTTGGTTACCAAGTCCTCATGTGCACGTGAAGAGCCATGAATCCATATACCAGAAGAACCAAATCTCCTCTAGACAGCTGCATAGAAACACCTATGTTTTTCTTCAGAGATGGCAGTTTGTTCTGATATTACGGGAGATAATTGTTCTTCCCTCCCTTCCTCCCATGCTCTGCCTCCCACCTCTCCGCTCGCTGAGGAGAAGACAGCAGATGCTGTCTCATACCACAGAGCCCTCCAAACCCCTCTGTACCCCGGCGGTGCACAGCCCACATGCTCTCCTCTTGCAATGAACACATTGTGGTACTCAGCGAAGGGTGGGGAGTGTGAGGTGTGGGGTTCAAATTCACTGGGACCCCAAAGTGCCATCCACCAGGACTATGTCCCGTAGCCGTGCGAGGCACGCTCAGCTCCAGGGCTGCCGCAGAGCTGTGTGCCGCTGCCTTCCACAGGGGCAGGCTCTGTCTGGGCTACAGTAAAAGGCAGACATCCTACCATTTTCTGAGCTGCTCAACCAAAATGGTAAGCACCCCTCCTCCCACAGAGCCACTGAAGTGCCCCAGGAGGGTCAGGGCATTTGGGGAAGTTCATCCTTTGCCTTTCACTAGTTCAGAAGATGCAGCAGTGGCTGGTGGGGCTACAAAGGCAGAACCTGAGACGGGGCAAGGGGACCATGATCCCTTTGCTATAGAAGAAGGAGTAGGCAGCCTCCCTCAAGGTGCTCCTCATGAGGTCAAGTTATTCCCCCCAGACAAAAGATCAGCGCTTGCCAAAATGCATACACGACTTCTGCGTTCTCCCAACTCTTTCCTAAACACATCCCTAGAGAAAATGGGCATGCCAACACATATCTGTTATCTATAAACCAGGTTGTCCGAGCACCCAAAGGATTTCTGGGTGCTTCTCTTGCCCCCCTACCTTTTTAAACAGTTAATTGATTAGATATTTCAAATTCAAAGTGAAACCAATACTTTATGAAAACGAGAGCGTTACTCTTTCTAGTGACTCCAGGCATTCTGCAGCATCTGAGAAACACTCACCTTAGTACATGAGTTGATCCATTTATTGTGGTGGTGGAACAGGGGACCGTCTGCCCCAAGATGGAAGGCCTTCGGTATCGCTCATCACCACAGCACAGGATGATGAGGAAGGCACGTCTGAAAGACTTGTTCAGGAAGGCGTAGAGGAAAGGGTTCAACCCTGAATTGATGTAGCCCAGCCACAAGAAAGCCGTCCACAGCTTCCCCGGCACCGTGTAGTTTATGAAAGGGTCCACTATGTTTGTGATAAAGAAGGGGGCCCAGCACAGGCAGAAGCACCCCATGATGATGCACAGGGTCTTGGCAGCTTTGGTCTCAGTCTTCATGCGGTGCGTGCTGTGCTGGTCCTGGGGGTGCTGCCGGCCGTCGGTGGGGGCCCCC